CATCCATCCATCCATCCATCCATCCATCCATCCATCCATCCATCCATCCATCCATCCATCCATCCATCCATCCATCCATCCATCTTCTGCTTGGCCCAGACATCTCTTTTCTGAGCCACCTCCCCTAGCAGCCAAGAGACTGTTTGTGTACAAATTCAGAGGCTGGGTCCTCCGAAGGCTGAACTCGTCGGCCGTTTGCGTCACAGTGCCGCACCGGAGACTGTCACATTTTGAAGACTCCTCCGATGCTGCTGACAAATCTGTCCTCCTTTTTCCTCAATTTGAGGGACTAGTCTGATGGCTCCTTCTTGGTCCACCATATCCCATAATGCTTTGTTGGCCTACCAGAGATTTTTTTCTGCTAGTAATGGCGGATGAAGCGAGAGAAAAGAATACAGTTTAAATAAAAATCTGGCGGTGTAAAACTGAAAAGTTTCCAGTGGTTGTGTCGTTAATGCTTTTGTCATTTGACATGTTTTTAATGTTATTCTTGTCAGAAATCAAACGAGTTCATATAGAAAAATAACCATGCACCTACAGTTGGAACTTTGTTCTTCAAATATCGCCTTTAAGCTAATTTTGTTGTTTTATGATTTTAATAATACTAATATATTGAAATTTAGCTCATTTCAATCTATTTTTGCTTCTGTTTTGCGTCGTCATGGTTCCTAGGTGACAGGACAAACGCCGTGGTAAGGACGGGAATAAAGCAGGAAAGATCATCCAAATAGACTGTCTACAAAGGACCCGGCCCACCTAGAATGGGTAGGCCGAGTCCTTCAAAGGATGCAGCCCCTGAAATTGGACACAGCCGTAGTCTCTCCAGCGTGTCCTGGGTCTTCATCTGGGTCTCCTCTCATTTGGGCATACCTAAAATACCTCCCTATGGAGGCGCCCAGAGGGCATTCTTACTAGATGCCTGAAACACCTCAACTGACTCCTCTCGACGTGGAGGAGCAGCGGCTCTACTTTGGGTCAGTCGTGGGTTATGGAACTTCTCATCCTATCTAAGAGTGAAAGTCCAGCTATCCTGCTGACAAAACTCATTTGTACGCATGTACTCATGATCTCATTCTTTTGATTAATACCCAGAGTTCGTGGCCATAGTAGTAGGAATGTAAACTGATCAGTAAATAAAGAGTCTTACAGCTCAGCTCCATCTTTACCAAAGCAAGTTTTTATGTCATTTCTAAAAATATCCATTTAAATGCACAGAATTGTTTCTGGAAATGTTGATTCACTTAAAAAAAAAAAACTAAAACCTTCCAATACTTGTAGTAACAATGCCAGGCCTGTATATGGCGCTGGCACACAAGGCGTGAAGTGGGTAGCTATGGGTGGGGCCGCACTATAAATCACAAATACTATACACTCACCGGCCACTTTATTAGGTACACCACGCTAGTAACGGGTTGGACCCCCTTTTGCCTTCAGAACTGCCTCAATTCTTCGTGGCATAGATTCAACAAGGTGCTGGAAGCATTCCTCAGAGATTTTGGTCCATATTGACATGATGGCATCACACAGTTGCCGCAGATTTGTCGGCTGCACATCCATGATGCGAATCTCCCGTTCCACCACATCCCAAAGATGCTCTATTGGATTGAGATCTGGTGACTGTGGAGGCCATTTGAGTACAGTGAACTCATTGTCATGTTCAAGAAACCAGTCTGAGATGATTCCAGCTTTATGACATGGCGCATTATCCTGCTGAAAGTAGCCATCAGATGTTGGGTACATTGTGGTCATAAAGGGATGGACAAGGTCAGCAACAATACTCAGGTAGGCTGTGGCATTGCAACGATGCTCAATTGGTACCAAGGGGCCCAAAGAGTGCCAAGAAAAGATTCCCCACACCATGACACCACCACCACCAGCCTGAACCGTTGATACAAGGCAGGATGGATCCATGCTTTCATGTTGTTGACGCCAAATTCTGACCCTACCATCCGAATGTCGCAGCAGAAATCGAGACTCATCAGACCAGGCAACGTTTTTCCAATCTTCTCTTGTCCAATTTCGATGAGCTTGTGCAAATTGTAGCCTCAGTTTCCTGTTCTTAGCTGAAAGGAGTGGCACCCGGTGTGGTCTTCTGCTGCTGAAGCCCATCTGCCTCAAAGTTCGACGTACTGTGCGTTCAGAGATGCTCTTCTGCCTACCTTGGTTGTAACGGGTGGTTATTTGAGTCACTGTTGCCTTTCTATCAGCTCGAACCAGTCTGCCCATTCTCCTCTGACCTCTGGCATCAACAAGGCATTTCCGCCCACAGGACTGCCGCTCACTGGATGTTTTTTCTTTTTCGGACCATTCTCTGTAAACCCTAGAGATGGTTGTGCGTGAAAATCCCAGTAGATCAGCAGTTTCTGAAATACTCAGACCAGCCCTTCTGGCACCAACAACCATGCCACGTCACCTTTCTTCCCCATACTGATGCTCGGTTTGAACTGCAGGAGATTGTCTTGACCATGTCTACATGCCTAAATGCACTGAGTTGCCGCCATGTGATTGGCTGATTAGAAATTAAGTGTTAACGAGCAGTTGGACAGGTGTACCTAATAAAGTGGCCGGTGAGTGTATATCGTCATTGCAATACCAGTGTGCGCAATATTCATATTACAATCAAATTACAAAGGACTGCTTGGAGTTCAGTAATTGTTGACTAATGTATTTGAAGAGTTTTGAAGTTGTATTTTTCATGTTAATGCGATATTTACCCTGGCTTAACACTAGATACGACTCTGCTCAAATCAGCTGCGACGCACAGAGGAGGGAGAGTGTGCAGGAATGAGAGTGCGCGATAAATCCAGTGATAAATGTGGAAGTCAGAGCAAAAAATAATTCTGTGAAAGATGAAGTCCAAACACAGATGAAAACATTGATATAAAAGCTTTTGATATCTATGGTTGAAACTGTATCGCTGTCTTTTTGAAACTTCTGATTTCAAAATAAAATCCACATGCATTGTGTGTGCACACACATGCTTCATCTACATGTTGCCATCTGCTTCCCAAACAGAACGATACATTCTGACAGCATTTGTGTAGAAATAAATCCAAACATTGATTAATATAGCTGGGATTTCTGCAAAATTACTGTAGTCCGCCTTATGGTGTCTTATTGTGAAAGTAAGGATGTTGTGCTTGTTTCTTTTCCTGTTGGTGCGACGTGATCTTTGTCAGACATAGCAGAGTCGAACCGCATCTAGTGTTAATTAGGGATTACCCTGTAGGACTGAGTCTAATGGCAGCAAAAGCTCACACCAGACACAAGAATAAAAGACATATATCTCATCTGATATTGTCATCACAGTATTTACAAATATTATTGCCATTGCAAGATTTGTTATACGGCCCTGACACTGGCTGCAAAATGTAAATGTAAGGAGAAGGTTGGAACAGGTGGGGTCTATGACAGTTGCACATTGGCTGTCTGCACAAAAACATGAGGGAGGCGCTTCAAGTTTTTTTCATTCTGGAACCCATTTACAAAAAAATACCGTTTTTAGAGCTCCTAAATTACTTTCCATGTGGATGCAAGGCTGCAATGCTAAAAGCTTTTATGTATTCACAAAATAATGTGTGTGGCTCCTAAGAGCTGACCACAGGATTCGGGTTAATACCAGGTCTGAACAAAGCCACTGTCCCCCATTTTTCCTTAATAATGGTAACACGTATACCATGTATTTTGTCCTCTAACTGCTGTGCTTCACCTGCGGCCACAGGTTCGTAAAAAAGACAGTCAGCATGCGGCAGCTCCGGGCATGTGGGATGTTCTCAGACGTGGCACGAGTCGGGTTCTGTTTTCTGATCTCACTGAGGTAGTCGAGGACTTGAACATACGACAGTACGACACACTGCTCTATCTGAGAGTTAGATCACACCAAGAAACTGTTGCACAGGTTTTAACCACAGTGAAACCTGTTAATGTCTTTGCTTACCTTGCTTTAAAGGTAATTTCTAAACCGAGTGAATGCTTCCTTTGACAGAAGCAGCATATACGTGTTTGAGTTCAACAGAAAGGAAGAAACCTCAGCGCAGTGATTTCTGTTATTAATTGACTCAGTAGCAGTTGTTTGATATTAACCAAGTTTTTAGCACAGCCTGTTTCTGTGTACCTTGTTACCATGAGATTGCTGTTTGTGTGACAGAGTGCAGTGTTTTACTCAAACTTGCCAATCAGAGAAAGTTTGGTTTAATGATTGCAGAAATCTGTGGTAGTTTGTTGTATTTCTGTGCAAAAACTCGTTACCCCTGAGGTTGGTCTTTAAAGCCATCAGGAGTCACAAGCGTTCACTTTTGTTCCCTCTCGCAGCACGTGGATGAGAAAACAGAAACAACTCTGCTGGTTCATTTCTTTGGGAAAAAAGGGAAAGCTGAGTTGAAGTTTGAAGATTTTTACAAGTAAGTTATGACTCCTGATTCTGTTGTTCTGCCTGTATTTTATCATTTTGTCTCTGTTTCTCTTGTAGCCATCATGGTTTCTGTTAGCGCCAGTGTCTTTTCTGTCCCTCTCCACCAGGTTCATGGACAACTTGCAGACGGAGGTGCTTGAGATCGAGTTCCTCTCCTACTCCAAAGGCATGCCCACTATCAGTGAGGAAGACTTTGCTCGCATTCTTCTTCGCTATACAAACGTGGATGACGTCAGCGGGTATATGGAGAATGTGCGTCACAGCATACCAGACGAAAAGGTGCATTGACTTTTTAAAATTCTTTTAAAAAAACTTGACGATGATGTCATGGATTTTTAATCAATTTTAGACTTTTTTTACAAGTTGGTGAACAGTGTAACCAAGCTATTTTCCTATGTGAAAACATAGCCCTAAAAGTAAATATGTATACAACAGAGCATTTAGACCAAATTAAATGTTCCTGAATGCATTTTAATCTCTTCCAGAATGCCTTTTTTAGACAAATCATTGTTACTTAAAATAAATACAAAAATAAACTATTATTAATAATAGTGCAATTCTACAAAGTGTTACTTTATTAATTAACACTTAATTTAATGTGGGTCTAGTGTGGTAAAACACCAAAGGGCTTATTGTAAGGTGTGAAATAAAATGTTTACTTCGAGGTCACCTCTGAAGCCTAACATGATTCAGAACAAAAACAAAGTGTAATATTATATCTAAATCCTGGTTCATTATTAAAACAGTAACATTTAAACTCGTTTTACTGTTTTAATTGGAATCAGATTCTGTGAGGTCAAAGCTTACTATATAATTTAATTCATTCCATTATTGGCTTGATTTGTCTTGTGAATTATTCAAATGTTTAGAATATTTGTTTTGAAATAGAAAAAAATATTTACAAAGTCAATAAGGTTCAAATAAATACGTATTAAGACTAATAACAAGAAGTTTTTTATTTTGAAGTGAAGAAATTGTTTTACTTTGAAAGACAAAGTCTCAAACTGCAGCTTCATAATTGGAGGGATAGTTTTGATTATTTTTAATGGGGTTCTGTGGAGAAATTATAAGTAATCAGTATATCACTTGAAGTAAGATAGTTCTGAGCATTTATTTTGAAAAACCATGCAGAGGTTTTTTGGGGGAGAACCAGCTAACAAGAAGTCTGATCAATGTTTTAAGTGTGACCTGTAGGCAAACTATCTGATGAAAGTAAGACGATGTAAACTCAGACATAACAGTCGGTCGTCTTCACATGATAAATAAAACAATGATTCAGATGGAGCACAGACAGAGCAAGCAGCGCAAAGATCAGCTCTGTAAATCAGTTTTTGAGGTACAGTAACCTAGACTGTGCAAAAAGTGCATCATTTTCACTAAGAAGATTCCTTACTGTCAGTTTAATTGTCTACAAAGTTTTATGTTCTCTCTTATAAACATGTTTTCCAGTCTGTAATGATTTGTAATGATCTTGTTCTGTGGGTAAATAGGAACACTTCCCCCTGTTTGTTTTCTCTTTCCTTTGATAATGTTCAGTGAATTAGCTGCTGAGTGAAATGGCCTCATTTCAGTTTTAATTTGTTCCCCCTCTTGGCACGCTGACCCGCATGAAAAGGTGCCAGCAGCTCCTCAGCCACCTCAAGTAGCCTGTTGCTAGATCTCTTTTGATAATCAAGTGGGTCTCATCATTACGCTGAGCGATATTTTATGGTTCCCCTCATTGTTAAAACAGCAAAGTGTCACAGATTAGTCATTACTTCATTTGTTAGGCTGTGTGTTCGGCTGCCCCCCTCCCTCCCCTCCGGTAAAACAAGCAGCTAGTAGCCGCAGGACGGTTGAGTGGACATCAATGGGCTCAGTGTTTGAGTCGTCAGCCAAGCCTGAGATGTTTTGGGGATTCATCACTTTTGTTTTTGTTTATTCAAGTATCAGGTTAATCTGCTTTAGAAAAGTCTGCGAGCAGCCTGACCTCTTCCCAAAAAGCTACAATCCTCCCCCCGCCGCTGACAGCTCAGCGTGTCCATACTGCGCAGGGAAAATCCAGCAATGTGTACTTTGTCTGTTTGGGTGTGTCATCTATCTGATGGCGACAAGCTCCCACACACACTGACAGATTCCTCCCAGAGATGAAAGCAGCCAGATTATCAATGGTGTGAATTCTAGCACCGGTGTCGACACATGCAGCTCATCTGATTCCTGAGCTTCTGAAGCAGCCGGTTTTCTAATGAAAACATTGTTTTATTGCTGTTCCTTCCCAGGGAATCACCTTTGAGGAGTTCAGGTCCTTCTTTCAGTTCCTGAACAACCTGGAGGATTTCACCATCGCCATGCAAATGTACAACTTCGCCCACCGCTCGGTCGGTCAAGGTAAAGTTTGGAGACACAAATTGCAACTTGCTGGTGTTTTAATACGAAATTCAAGATAGTTAAAAAATAATTGACTTTATATTTGTTGGTTTGTTCTGAACTGTTTAGTCTTTTGATTTTGCGAGAGAAATAACAGTTCTATATAAATAACTGTGTTTTTAAGGACGTTGAGAAAGTTTTAATCTGAAATTTAATTAGTGTCTTGCTTGTCTTCATTGTGTGCACCTTCCAAAATAAAGGCCTCATCTTTTGTGGACAGAGTGTTTCAAAGTTATGAAAACTCTCCTTTATATATAAATTATTCATTGTTTCTAATTTTAAAGTAATTAACGAGAGCTCAGCCAAACAAATTAATCAAATGTCAGGATTATATAAAACTGGTCAATGAATTAAAACCTAAATATTTTTGAGCCTGTGGCTGAATATAAGGTCTGAATAGACACAAATTTTAGATTATCCATCCGTTATCTTATGCATGTAGCAGAGTTGAGACAGGGTAATCAGGTTGAGAAGGGAGGCCCAGACCTATCTTTCCACAGACACCTCTTCCAGCTTTTCTGGGAGGATTCCATGGCGTTCCCAGGCCAGACAAGAGACATGGTCTCTCCAACGTGTCCTGGGTCTTTCCCAAGGTCTCCTTCCAGTTGGACATTTAGGGAGCATCCTTACCAGATAACTGAACCACCTCAGTTGGCTCCTCTCATTTCTAAATTATATTTATTTAAAGAATACATCACATGATTGTGGAAGAGTCTCACCACATAAAAAAAAAACATCTGGACCAGGTGATTTGATTGAAGAATATATTATGACTTTTATCCACGTAAGATTTTATTAGTACATCAGTCAATGAGCTGATTCTGGGTGGAAGTGGGTCTTCCAGCCAGGCATTAACCCGCAGAGCAATAGTCAATCCTTTAAGAAATGTTCAAGAATAAATTTAATGTTTTAGAATAAAACCATTTTTAGCTTAAAGAGAAGAGGTTGGAAGCGGAGTTCTGCAGAAAGCTTATGAACAGTTAATGTCTCACCTGTTGCAGATAGCTCTTTGAACAACCTCAGTTTGAGAAAAAGAGTTGAATTTTGACTGGATTGATGAGCTAAAGGCTAGTCCGAGCAGAGCTAAGGCTAACATGGATTTCTGCTTTCCTATAATAAAGCTAATCTTAAAAATGCCATAGTGTGAGAATACTTAATTATAAAATTTTACTGAGTTATCAGCTTTTTTATCACATACTTATTTAGGGTGTTTTGTACCCCAAACTGCCATTGATTGAGCTGCTCTTGAAATCCTAAACGGTATTGCAGTTGTACTAACAGCATGAGTGTGCACTGCAGAATTGCAGCACGCAGGACTGCCGTCTTTCTTTCTGCGTCTGTGCTCTGTCCCGCCCCCGTCATTTGTGACCAGTGGGAGCATTGATCATCACCCACCTGGCTTTGTTGGCAAATTATAGTTCGCTCACAAAAAAGCACAATGTGAATGCAAACTGCACCAAAATAACTAAATAAATAGTCTGAAATATATAAATAAATTAAAGTCTGATTTTGGTCCAGGCCAAAGGACTTTCCTGTTGTCAATACATCCTTAAATAACGTCTTTGATTATTTGCAAATTAAAATAGCATAGCAACAATTATCTATAGCACTGCCAGTGTAACCGGCAACAGCCTGAGCCTAGTTGGTGGCCTGAGGTCACCTACTTGTCAGACATGCCTGGAAAGTCTCCATAAAGAGACGTCCAGGAGGCATCTTTACCAGATGCTTGAACCACCTCAAATTGCTCCTCTCGATGTGGAGGAGCAGCGGCTCTAATCTTTCTCACTCAACTGATTTTCTCACCTTGTCTCTAAAATAGAACCCAGCTCCCCTGCTGAGAAAACTCCCTTTGACTGCTTTTATTGGTGACCTCATTTTTTTCTGTCACCACCCAGAGTTTATGAACATAAATGAGGGGAGGAACCAGCTACACCTTGCAGCTCAGCTTTCTCTTTACCACACAGAGTCTGCAACATCAGGAAACTGGACTGATCCTTCTGTCAAGCTCAATTATTCCCTCATTTGTGAACAAAACCCAGATACTTGAACAACTCCACTTCAGACAGAACTTCACTCTCAACTTGAAATAAATCCTGTGAAGTTGTAAGAATTTGAGACATGTTAAGAAGAGCAGCAATTAACTTTGGAATAATAATGGTTAAACTGGAGTGGGCCCACTTTTGGATCGCACAGTTATTTCCCCCCAAAAAATTTATATTCTTTTTTAAATGACCCAGGCTGCACTGGAGGTGCTGCAAGAAGTGTTTCAAATTAAAGTGCCTGTGACATTAAATGTTTGTAATAAACATGAATGCATTTTTGAAAACAAAACATTGATAACATATTGCAAAACAAATTTCACGTCCCTGAGATGAACAGTTGTTGGGATATTTGCACCTGAAGAAACAGGAAGTGATGCCAAAGGGGAATGTCTGCATGTAAACAGAGCATTGCAACAACAGCCAACAACACAGACTGAAGAGAAGAATCTAATATTTCTTTAAATTATTTTGAGTCTCTATCAAACACAGATGATGAGGAGTTAAAGTGTAAATGATAATGTTTTAACAAAGACCAGCGAGTTTATTTTATTAATGAGTTCCCCTTTGATGTCACTTCCTGTTTCACTTTGGCTGAGCCAAATCCAAAAGAAAATAGGCCAATTATGTGACAAAATGGGTAAACTCATGTGTATCATGCCAAGTTGTTTTCTGAAGGATAGGCATGTCACAGGTACTTCAGTGTTTGCAAACGGACCAACAGTTCTGTCTTAATGTGGTGTTGATTAAAGAAATCAGGAATCTACTTAGATCTTGGCTCTTAGGCTAACTTTTATCGTCATCCGGATGATCAGAATTAACTCCAGGCTGTTATGTTTTTAAAAATTCATCTAAACTGAGATGCAGGACCAAAAACATCCATAACTGTTGAATTTTGTGTGCAAAAATGTCACATTACTTGTGAAAAACAGTGATAAAAGGCAGTGGTTGTCTTGCTCAATTATTTCCATTTTTATCTGTAAAATAGTTCGAGCAATCATGAGTTTGATGCAGTAAAATTCATCTGCTTATATACATTTATTTTCTAAAACATTCAAAGAAATATTCCTAACAGCATCTTTGCAGCCCTCTTGAAGACATTACTCTCTAACATTTAAATCTTCTACCGATGCATTGCAGAGGAGTTTACTCGAGCGGTCTACGTGGCCACAGGAATCAAGCTGAGCCACCACTTGGTCAACATCGTCTTCAAGATCTTTGATGAGGATCACGACGGCAAACTCAGCCACAAGGAATTTATCGGAGTCATGAAGGACCGGCTGCACCGCGGTGATGGGGTGAGAAGTCTTTCATGTTAAAAATAGAGTTCTCTGAGCTTCTTTTAGCAGGAAGTAGCTGAATAAACGACTTCACAGCCAAAGAGCAAGAAACCTACAAAGTATTTTTTTTTAGCTTTTTATGGTGCAAACAGAAACAGATTCATGTTTCAGCAGCATCTCTTCATCAAAGTCCCTCTCACTGAGCTCCTTTATGTTTTGAATGTCTTTTTACCTCTTGCTAAAGGTGACAGAGGACACATCCACCTACTTCCTCTGTGGACTGAGGAGGACCAGTACTGCAGAGACACAGAAACACTTCACTCATTAGTTGTGAGGTTTCACCGCCACCTAGAGGAGCGTAAGGACTTTTATTTCTTGTCAAGTTGAGTTTAATCTCCTTGTCTCACAGGGCGTTCGAGTGGAGGAAAAGTTCATCTCTTTCAAGTCCTGCATGAAGAAGGAGCTGTCAGCCAAATAGGTAAATGTTTTTGATCAGTTTGAGAGAATAATATGATAAAATAAAACAAGATTTAAAAAGAAATTCTCAGTGAAAACAACTAGAATATTTTGTTCGCCATATTTCTATCTTTTGCACCTTGTGGTTTGGTGGTTGAGGCCTGGACAGTCCAGGCCTGAAGCATTAAGTTACTCTGTAATATTAACGCCTGAACAGCTGCCACCGGATACCGGCTTAGACCTGCATACGTGAGCAGCGAGCGGCCGGCTTTAAAGATGTATAAGTGTTTCAAAAAGAAGGACCTCTCTGAGGAGAGCTTAATAAACAATCTGGATTTTATATAAAAAAAATAGTTTTAATTTGTATTTTTTCCAATCACTTCCCCAAAATTTCAGTTTTAAAGAACTTTAAATAACAGATTTCTTTGAACAACATTTACTTTACTTTCTGATTTATTAAGTAATATAAGTGTCTTAAAAATGTCAGCAAAATAAGATGATTTTGAACCCAGCTGTTCAGTTTCAGGTTTCTGTTCTGCAATTGGCAGAAGTTTATAGTAACTAAGTACATTTACTTTGTTACAGTACTTACCGGTAAGTAGTTTTTTTGAGGATTTATAATTTTACTAATTATTTTTTTAAACAGCCACTTTTACTTTTATTTTGTTACATTTTAAAGCTAAAAAGGATACTTTTACTTCTTTACTTTAAAATGTAACACTTAGTTACTTGTTACAAAATTAAATACGTTCGAACCCATCATGAAAGATGTTTCTGCACTCTACAAATTAAGTGTTGAATTTAATTTTAGTCATGTCATCTGGCTCCACTAAACCTAGTCGAGTAAATTGAGCAAAGAATACACATATATCATTCAGTTTACTCAACCTGGCTTAGTGGAACCAGTTTGGTTCAGTAAACTCAACAGTTTAATTCTTAGAGAGTGTGTAAATGTACTTTTACTTTTCCAATTTTTGTGAAAAGTTTTATGAATTTTGCTTGAGTAGTTTTCTCATCAGTGAAATGTATTTTTACCAAAGTCATTTTCTGTTCATGTAATTTTACTTTTACTTAGTTACTTTTTTCAAATACTTTATAGACCTCTGGTAACTGGATGCATATTTTGATAAATAACACCTCGTTTGCATCCAGCCTTTCAAAGACTTTACAAGAAATATTAAACCCGATGTAAGGGAGCATTGTCAAATAATTCTTTGCATGTTGTGTGAAAACATACAGTATCTATAAGTGAAGTTGTTGATGCGTAGACGTGGTTTTAGATGCTAAAAAATACAAATGTGTTCATTGCGGATTTTTTAATTCAATATTTTCAGACCTGCTGCTGCTGGCAACTCAAACATCCTTTATTGTTCCTAAACAAGTAGTTTTCTTCGCTGCAACATGCTACACTGCAAAAACAGCTTTTGTGTTGTTAAATAAAGGGACGCACCGGGAAAGTCTGAAAATTCACGCTGCTGTTTTGTCAGTTTTTATCAACACATTAACAGAAGCATGAGACAAACATAAAAGGATTGTTATGATCTTTTAAAGTTGGGTTTCAATTAATGAATTACCTGCTGTAGATGGATTTTTGAACAAGCTGATAAGCTAACGGCTAACCAAAACAGAACCAGGTCAAAGTGATTTGCTGCTGTCTGAAATAGGGCTGCCACAAACGATTATTTTTATAGTCAATTAATCACCMATTATTTTTTCGATTAGTCGACTAATCGGATCATACGTTAATTGAATATAAAACATACAGCTGCTACAGAATGCAGCTGCTATTATATAACCATGGTTAGATTTTAGCTATATGCTAACTAAAAATAATTGCCATGGAAGGCAAGTTCTGCTCTGCAGATATTACACAGGTTTCTCTTTCATTTTCTTAAAATGATACCACAGTTTTGAGCTCTGTTTCTGGGTAGCCATGATACCAGAGCCTGTCTGTATAATGTCTTGTCACATCCACGGCCTACCCCAGTTACCACTACTGCATGTGTGTCAAGGACAGAAAGGCAGATGTGGCAGTGAAAGGTGTCAAACCAGTTTGGAGAGAGAAACAAAGTAAAGAACAAAAAAAAAAAAAGAATAATTGACTATTAAATTAGTCATAGACTATTTTAATAGTCGATTAGTCGTCCACTAATCGACTAATCATAGCAGCCCTAATCTGAAGGTCCTGCCACACTTTAATGTTTTTAGACAACTTATGCCAAAATATAAACCTTTTCTCCAAAACACTGACATAAACTGAAGATGCAATAAATAAATAAATACATTTTTAATAATAAATTCTTTTTTAGCCTCCATCCATGGGTGTGCCTGTATGCAGTTTTCCTCAGTTCAGCTTTGGCCAAATGTGTCTTAAATTCTGGATCCAACTGCGCTTTCAGAACCACCACAGCAGTGGTTCTAAACCAGTGGAACAAAGTATTGTGCGTTTATGATTATGACGTCTGCATACTTCTGCCCATGGATTGGCTGAGCTGAGGCAGAAACTGAACATATCTCCAGCAAACTCTTCCTGGAGAGAGGGGAAGGAGACGAGCGAATACACAGAGCCGTCTGAAATGAGCAGAAATCCCAGGAAGATCTGGACAAACTGTCCATGGTTACATGTACTGATAAATAGTGATGTGACAAACAAACAAACGTCTGACTACCAGATGATAAAACCACAACAGCTGAAACTACATCCCAACGATCCGCCCACAGAGTGAGAGACACACTGACACACAGACACACACACCAGAGCAGAACTGAACAAACATGAACTGAATGGAGTGAGACTTGACAGTGTAGAGGTGGCTTTCCAGTATTGTACTAACAAGTTGAATGGATATATAACCTATGAGTAACTGATCCATATCTTGTCCTTAGCTTGTACATGACTTAGACAAGCGTCTGATAGTGTTTTTTGACTTTGCACAACTTAAGGCCCGCTCAAACTCACACAAACTTCACTCCACAGAGGTCCACACGGACTTGAGGTGGACGTCCGGTGGACATTTACTCGGTGTTGCGCAATAAACTGCCCAGTGAGAAAACAGAGAAAAGGTGTTCACATGAAACTGTTTTATTTGCAACACCAAGCAGATAGTTGAGAATCGATGTGTGCTGAAGTATTTGCTATTTTTAAGATGCTTAAGAATTAAAATAGCTAGCCAAAAGTTGTCCCACTTTTCACTTTTTTCACAATTTGTAATTTATAGCATGCCATCAATATTTAAAATCAGTCTACATGCACGTGATATTTAGGACTTCAATAGCAGTTCCAAATGGGACATCTTAAAGGATGAATGAGGGAATTTGTCACGAGAGAAAGAAGCAATCAGTACGCTCGAGTATGAAGTCTCAACTGTCCGCAGATGGTACACGCAGCTCACGGAGTACTCAGTACACCTGAGTATGTGGGGCCCTTCATTCTGAACGTTAGTGTAACTTCTGCCAAACTTTCAGTAGATTTTTATTTTATTTTATCTGCAGTGTTTGCCAGCATGGTGAACACTCTTTCAGCGTTAGTTGTCCAAAACATTATGGTGTGACAGGACCTTTAACCCTGTGACTCACTGGGATGTGACTGTAAGTTTTAAGAGTTAAAATTGAGAGAAAATCTGCATGTCTTGACTTGGGATCACACTAAATTGATATTTTTGAGATGTATGCAAATGGTTGTTATTTAGACATTCCTGCAAATGACTTGCATGTTTTTTGATGCACAATTTAGTCACAAAGTGTTTTTATTGTGTCTCAACTGGAGCCCAGTTTAGTCTCTTTTTTTTCCCCTCTCCAGTTAGTGATAATTAGTTTTTTTGGGTTCCCAAACTTTTCCATGCCATGCCTTGCCCTCCTCAAAACAGCATTAGCCTCTGGCCGGGGACCCCCCTTTGCAAAACCATAAACAATGCTACAAAATGTGTAAAGAAACACCAACTTTTGCTTTTTTTCTTAATTTTATTTATTTTCAATAATTATTACATTTGTTTAACACAAGAATTTTATTAATTAGCATGTTAAGCACGTTATTATGATTTTACTGAAAAAACAACTTTTCAACAAACTGTTGACAATAAGAACAGAAACATATTAAACCTTTCTTAAATAACATTTCAACATATAAATTATATTTTTAAAACTAGATACTGCATTGCGATAACATAATGACCCCTGCACGCAAAGATAAATTGGGGGTCCAGTGGGTGGGGGGCACTGATTGGTGGGCCTGATGGATAGAGCTTCAT